GTACTGCAAGAGTAATTTAACCCTGACTTGGTTTGTTGAGAAGCTGCTTTTCTTTCTTTAAATTTATTTTTATCAATTACAGTTTATTCACTTTGTATCCCAGCTGTAGCCCCCTCGATTGTCCCTTCCCAATCCCTCCTCCTTCCCCCTTTTCCTCCCTTGCCCCTCCCTCAGGTCATTGATAGGGTGTCCTCCTTCCCTTCCTTCTGACCCTAGCCTATCAGGTCTCATCAGGACTGTCTGCGTTGTCTTCCTCTGTGTCCTGGTAAGGCTGCACCCCCCTCAGGGGAGGTGATCAAAAAGTCAGCCACTGAATTCATGTCAGAGACAACCCCTGTTCTCTTTACTAGGGAACCCACTTGGATACTAAGCTGCCATGCGCTACATCCAAGCAGGGGTTCTAGGTTATCTCCATGCAATGTCCTTGGTTGGAATATCAGTCTCAGAAAAGACCTCCGGGCCCAGATTTCTTGGTTCTGTTGCTCTCCTTGTGGAGCTCCTGTCCTCTTCAGGTCTTTCTGTCTCTCCCTTCTTTTATAAGTTTCCCTATACTCTGCCCAAAATTTAGCTATGAGTCTCAGCATCTGCTTCGATACCCTGCAGGAAAGTCTTTCCTCTGTGGTAGGTTCCTGCCCTGTTCCTTGTTTTCTCCCTCTTCCGATGTTTGTCCCATTTGCCTTTCTGAATGAGGACTGATCATCTTATCCAGCGTTCTCGACCTTCTTGTTTAGGAGAAGCTGCCTTTCTTAAGTTATGTCGAATTGAGCTGAGTTAAGCTTTGAGACAGTAGTAGATTGGAACTCCAGTTTCATATATTAATTACCTGTATCACTTTTACATTTAAACAAAGAAAACATGCTGTTTTAAAGCTGTGGAGTATCAAACACTTGGAAAGCAGGATCAGTTACTTATGAACTGTTACTATAAATTTTCAGAAAAATTTATAAACATTTCTAAGTAGAATGGAAGACTGATTGTGCTATGAGAAATTGAGTAAGATACAGAAGATTTAACCTGGTTATCTAAAGTCATACAATCTCCCGTAAAGTCTTTCTTATCTCTTAGGCTAGAAAGTTGTCCCAGCTATATGGAGTGACAGGTAGCATAGCTCTCCACGGTGTTTTTAATCTGTGCTTTCCTGGGTGGAAGGGGGCCTAGAGTAGCAAATGAAACCAAGCCGGATCTGAAGGTCAGTGAGGACTGAGAATTTGCAACTTATCAGGTGCATGACCCTGTCATGTCTACAAATCATAAGGCGGCAAGCTTGGCTTTTAGTAACTTTCTGTTCTAAACTTCTAGGGGATAGCTAGATTAGCAGAGGCCTCATAAGGGTAACTAGCTTAACAGGCTGCCAGTAGGGGTCTGTTGTTTTCTGTTTATTTGTAATTGTACCTAAGTTGACTCAAGATATTTTTATTTTCAAAATAAACTGTCAGGGGCTACAGAGATGTTTCAGTTAAAAGTACTTGAGTTCTGTTCCCAACACCCACAAGGTGATTCGTAACCATCCCCAGCTCCAGCTTTGGGGAATCGGATGCCTCTTCTGGCTTCCGTGGCACCAGGTATGTACATAGTGCACATACATTCATGCAGGCACAGCCTTCATACACACAAATATAAATTTAGAAAAATAGATAAAAGGGAAAGCAACATTAATTTAAAACAATCCATCAGATTTTATTACATTTATTAATAAGAATTTTAATTACATTAAAACTGTCCAAATAATTCAAACCTGAACTTATATTTTAGCGAAATCATTTTCCGGAAATAGTAGTAGCAGCACTGTTTGGATTGTCCTAGCAATGTACTAAAAGATTCACATGTTTTTAACTCATAATCTCAAGACCCCAGAAATCTGACTATTTTTGTATAGATATGTAAATGATGTTCAAAGGCACATTAAATAGTGTCAAAGCTGGGTTCAAAGCAGTGGTAGAGTGCTTGCCCTGGGTTGGGTCCTTAGCACAGGGAAACAACTTTTTTCCGAACTAAAAGTTAAATTCAGGTCTCAAAGTTTAAGCTTATAATGATCAATCTTTAGTTTTCTTCCCTTTTTCAAAATATTAAGATGAGGGGCTGGAGAGACGGCTCAACAGTTAAGAGCCACTGGCTGTTCTTCCAGAAGACGGGGGTTCAATTCCAGAAGATCTGGCACCTTCATGTAGACATGCATGCAGGCAAAACATCAGTACACATATCTTAAAAACTTAAACAAATCTTAAAAACTATTAAGATGAGACTGAACATTAATGTTGTGGGAGTGAAACATGATTCGGGCTGACCTTTGAGATCTAGTTTATATACACAAAAATGAACACTGTCCTAGTTGCTTTCTGTTTCTATGATAGAACGCTCCGAGCAGAAGCGTTGGGGAGGAAAAAGGTTGGCTTTCCTTTTATAGGGAAGTCAAGGCAGGAATGCACACAGGGTAGAAACCTGAGGCAGGAAGTGAAGCAGATACTGTGAAGGAACATTACTTACTGGCTTGCTTACAGAATCCAGGACCACTTGCCCACCCACAGTGGTCTGAGTGTTCCACTTCAATCATTAATCAAGGAAATGCTCCCCGCAGACTCCTTACACTCCAGGCTGATGAAGGCATTTTTCTCAATTGAGGCTCTCTTCCTAGATGATCTTAACTTGTATTTGTTGACAGAAGTATTAACCAGCACAAGTACCATGTAACTTTTTTACAGTTTATATCTGTAGTGCCTGAGCCATAGGGCTTTTGTGCCCAAACCTCAAAAAAGATGTGCTAATAGCATGTTGTAAACTTCAAGTTTGGGCAAGCCCTAGGGTCCAACGGAAAATACAGCATTGTCATTACTCTGAAGTGTTACAGTCTGAACTCTCCTGTTCTTTTTATTAGAGATTCTTACCTTGCCACAAGAAGTACTGTGAATCATTATTGGAAAACATGTTTAATCATAAGACACTAAGCTCCCTAGTTAACTGTTGTTACTCTTGAAATACTATGATGTACCTAGATGTGGTCACAGTCTTCAAATTTTTAAAATTGTGTGTAAACAAAATGCCAAAAGGTGGAGTCTCACAAGGAATGGTGTGACTAGTGTGGTCCATTTTTTTTTGCTCTCATAAGAACAGCACAAAATAACCATTCCAAAATGACAGATTCTGGAATTCTGTCAGTTAACTTTTATTGTTGAAACAGCCTGTAATGGTTAACACTGATAGTCAATATGTTAAATCTCTGGGCATGTCTGTGAGGGAGTTTCTAGATTGGGCTAATGAAGGAGGGCATGACCCACTCTTCCGTTTCATGGCCCTGGGATAATGGACTCAATAAAAAGGCCAGCTGAGCAAGAGCATTGATAATGTGCTATTTCCTGATAGTGGACAAAATAAACAGCCACTTGATACCCCTGCCATCATTTCTGCACAAGAAAGGCACTTGCTACCAAGGTAATCTGGATTTCGTCCCCAGGACCCAGACGTTGGAAGAAAAACACCCTCGCCTGTAAGATATCTCCAGGCACCCACATGAGCACAGTAGCACATAGCACACACAAATGTTTTTTAGAAAATAACAAAAATGAGGGGTTGCAGAGATGTCTCTGGGGCTTAAGAGCAAGTAGTGCACTTGGAGAGGGCCTGAGTTCAGTTCCCAGCACTTCTGTCCAACGATTCACAACCTCATGTTACTTCATCTCAATCTGTAGGTCAACATAAACCCTCTAGGTTTACTTTTATCAGTTTTTTTTTTTTTTTTTTAAATCACAACAGGAAGAATAACTGATACTCAAGCTTTGCAGCTTTTCTTACCAAAGACCAAGTAAACAACCTGAAGGTGTCTTTATTTTGTTCGGAAAAAAAAAAAAAAAAAGACTAGAATGTAAAGTTCGGTGCAAATTGCAGCACTCATCCCTTGACTCCAGGCAACTTCAAACCCAGCAACCCGAAGGAGGAAGGGGTGCAGAGGCCTGCCCGAACACTGGTTCGGTTAAAGCAGTCGCATCTAGCCTTCTCCAGCCACTGGCCCCAAGTCTCACTACCCACGGAGCTTTAGCCAAGGAGGTTAGATAAGGATTGACGGAGGCACAAGGAAATAAAAGGGCAAATCTACCTCTACAGAAGCAGATTTGTCCTTCAATCAGAAAAAGTGACGCCAGTTTCTTCACAGTAGTGGAGACAGAGTTATGGGTTTTATAGGACGGAAAAAGGAACTTCTGAGATGGAAATTTTCATCTTCAGGTCGACTCCTCAACAGTCTCAAAGTGATAAATACCGAGAGATGTTGGTATGTTGATCTTATCAGAAGCTTCCATGATCCTGACAGCCCACAGGTGTGTTATCTGTCAACTTTCCTATTTGCTCTTTCTCAGCCTACTTGAGGCTTTTAGGTCCTGAAATTCTACATACAGCCATTGAGGCGTCCATCATAAGGTCCAGGACAGCCTGGTGCATGCTAGGCCAGCAGGCTATCATCTGAGCTCTATCTCTAATCCTCAAAGCAACTTTTTTTTTTTTTTTTTTTTTTGAGGGGAGGAGGAGGCAGCTTTCACTAGCGATTTCGTGGTTTGTTTTTGCTTTTCAAATCGCGTAGAATACGCTGCAAGGGAACAGTGGGTTAGGTAGGCGAGGACCGCCCGAGACCCGTGGCTTTCGCGGCGGTGCGTGGGCCTGCCGAACGGTGGCCTCGACTTCCGCGGGCCTCCACAGCCCCGCGGCTTCCGGACTTGGTCGTTACGGTCCAAGTCCACAGCGCCTTCCGCACAGCTCTGCCGATCAGTCTATTTTTGGAGAGGCCGTCATAGCATTTCCGGAACCTCAGCCGGAAGCTAGGGATGCGGAAGCTACAATCTCACGGACTCTCGCGACGAAGGCCTAGCCGCTCGTTCCCCGCCCCCTCCACTCCCAACTCTGTACGTCAGAGGTAGGCGGGCGTTAGCGTACGCGATGTGCGCGTGCGCAATCGCCCAAGCTCGCCCCGGCGCAGGCGTCTTTCTGGCCAGTCGCGCGTGGGCTGAGGCCCTGGGCGGGCGTTGCGAAGACTTGTTTGCTTGAGTTTGGACCCTGCGACAGTTCTCAGTTCCCTCTCGGTGGGGCGGGTGCGCACCCACGTCAGGCGAATGGGCAGCTAGACGCAGGCCGGGGAGCGTGGGGCTGCCGACATGAACTCGCCCGTGGACCCCAGCGCTCGGCAGGCGCTGAGGAAGAAGCCGCCGGAGCGGACTCCTGAGGTAAGGCCGGGCACTGGCGCGCACCCCTCGACCCGGACCTGGCCGTTGTCTCGCGCCGGGTGATGAGCACCTTTCCTGCCGCTCCCAGCCGGGGACTTCCTGGTACCTCTGATAGGAAAGCACCGTTACTGTGCGCTGGCTTCTGAATTCGTGTGTGCTCAGGTGGGCTGAAAAACAAGCTGGGAATTGGGATGTGTAAGAGACAGATGAGACTGTAGCCAGTGCGTGCTGTGCTCTCAGATACCGTACAGCTGCCCCCCGAAGTTTCCCAAGTCCGCATCAGACTCTGCTCCCGCCAGACGCTAAGTTCCGTGGCAGGTGAAGCGTGTGGGGTAGTTCTCCAGGTGCATTTTCTAACTGACCGTGGGAAGGAAGCTTCAGATTATTTTCTAAGTTTTCTTGGTTTGGAGACGTTGCTATAATCTTAGTGGTCATGTGTATTATACCAAAAGGGGGTAAAAAAAAAAAATGGAACGGGTTGTTTTATTTGAAGTTGCAGTAATTGAAATTAAATGCTTTAATTCTTAGTCACAGGAGCTTCAGATCTGTAGTGCTTTACATAGAAAAATCTCAAAACTTTGGGCTACCTCTCTGGAACATGATATCGTTAAAGCCGTAACTGAAGCTGTGATGAGTCTAGCTTGCTAGTCTTTGCGTAGAAACAAGGCTTTTTTCTTTTCTTTTCGCCACTTGTCAGGCGTTACCTTTTCCCACTTGTAATCCCATGAATCAGCTTTTCAGTGTTGGTGAAGATTATTGCAATGTGCACTCTAAGTTTTATTTACAAACAGTTGAACGATGAGGTGAAACCCGTTTCTCTTCGGGGCCGTATTACTTAATTTGAAATTGAGTTGTTTAAGCAGAGGTTTGTGAAGTTATGCTTGGTCGTGTGTTCTGCGTTAAGGACTTTTATCTCGTTTTACTGCAATAGCAACATTGGTGAAGGGAATGTTAACTGCTTAGGTTCATTGGTTCCCCTTTTGAATGAGTGTAGAATTTGGGTTACTAATAAATCAGAGCTGCTATTGATAGTTTATTGGTGGTTATCCAGAGATGCTATTGATAGTTTATTTTGATAAAGAATTCGATGGAATTCCACAAGTTCATTTCTGCTGTCAGAAGTTCCTTTTAGTGGACTTCTAAGATCTGTTACAAATATATTCATTTGGTAATTATTCATTGCCAACCTGTTCAAGGTTTTACTCTGTACATTAGGGAATTTTAGTGAACAAAATAGACAGGACCTTATAGTTCTTACAGGTCTGATGGATTAAGGAATGGAGAAGATAGGTGATAAATATGTAATATGCTAGCTAGTAATGGCTATTTCAGATAGCAGGATAAGGAGAATGGGGAAAGGGAGGATAAGATAGATTATAGTTTAAATGAAGTAGTTCCTATTTATTGTCCGAGGTAACTTGACTTTATTGTCGTTGAATGAAACTGGGTATCCCTGTATAGCTCACAGTAACCTGGAACCATAAATTTGTCAGCACTTTGTGTAAAGATGGCAGTGAACTCCACCAGACCTAGTTTGGGGGATTTGACTTGACTTGATGAACATTCTATTGGTGGGTGTGATGGGATTATGTGTGGAGTTTTATGAGGAAAAAGCTTTTGGAAACAGAGGAAATAGTCACTGCAAAGACACTGTCTTGAGAATGTTCACATTCCAGGAATAGCAAGGAACTCTAGAATTGTGAGGAATGAGCGGGTAGGAAGTCCTAGATAGTGCTGCAAGATAGGACATACCATGTGAGACTTTCTAAACTATGGGTTGTTCATTTATTTGTGTATTTATTTATTTATTATATTAGTTTTATTTGCAGTGAAATGAGTGAATTAGCATCTAAAGATTTGAAGCAGAGGAATGAAACTATTAAATTTTTAAAAAGACTTTGCTATTTTGTAGAGTGTAGACTGGGTGGGAACAAGAGTAGGAATAGGAAGTTAGAAGCTATTGCATAAATGGGGTAAGAGATGACAGTGATGGAGGTTCTGGAAGGCCATCAATTTCTGGAAATATATTTGATGTTTAACCAAGAACATTTGTCAATAACACATTAACATTTGTCAATAAACCGAAGAAAAGACAAGAATTGAACGTGGTTACAGAGTTTTTGGTCTAAATAATTATGGAGTATTGGAGTTGTTATCAAAGACAAATTGAAGAGCAGTCAGCAGTGGTACAGTGCACATCCAGTGTTCAAGAGGGCTTAATCCTCAGCACCATAAAACAGAAATACAGGAGATTTACTAGAGTTGGTTTTGAGAGGGGGGAAGATCAGAAATTATGTTTTGAATATGTCTAGTTTAAAATATCTGTTCGAAATGCTGGAGTAAAGAGTTACACATAAAAATTTATCTTTCTAAGAGAAGGCTGGACTATAGAGTTAAAATTTAGTCATGGTTCTAGACATTATTTTCAATTGGGAGAATGTATGAAATTGCCAATATAGAGAGTATACATAGAGAATTGAAGAGGTGTTAATATTTACAGTCATTGGGTTGTAGACGTTATTTTCAGTTGGGAGAATTGTGAAATTAGCAATATAAAAAGTATTCATAGAGAACAGAAGAGATCTTACACACCGTGATGCCAGCACTTGGGACTCTGAGGAGGAAGATTTTGCCACTGGTTCCAGGCCTGCCTGGTATGAGTGAAGGTGGCTGTGGAGGTGTGTGGGTGTGCCTTGTCTTAGAAAAAAAAAAAAATGACAGAGTGAAAAGGTAGATTAAGAAACAGATAGAAGCTGGCGCAGTGCATGCCTGTAATCCCAGCACTAAGGGAGGCAGAGGCAGGTATATCTCTGTGTGTTCCAGGCCAGCCTGGTGTACAAAGCAAGTCCAGGACAACCAGGGCTACACAGAGAAACTCTGTCTCAAAAAACAAAAACAAACAAAAGAGGCAGATAGAGGGGCTAGAGAGAGAGGTCAGCCATTAAGAGCACAGGCTGCTTTTCAGAGGTCCTGAGTTCAATTCCCAGCAACCACATAATGACTCACAACCATTTATATTGTGATCTGATGCCTCTTCTGTCATGCAGGCATACATGCAAATAGAGTACTTAAATACATAGAATAAGTAAATAAATATTTTAAAGAGAGAAAGAGACATGCATACTCCCAGAGTATCCTGGTGTCATGGAAGCCAAGTTAGTAAAAATGAGTGGGGCAGGAGTATAGCTTCGTTGTAGAGCATTTGTCTATCACATATTAAGGTTTGGGATCAATTCTCAGGTAGAGTTGGGGACTTCTATTTTTAAAAACTTAAGCATGATAATGTATGGCTGGAATGCCAGCATTTAGGAAGTGGAAGCAAGAGACTTAAGAGTACCAATCCATTCAGTCTGGGCTACATAAGACATGGGCTACATGTCTCAAAAAAACCCACAAAAAACAAAAACAACCCCCTCCACACAAAAACAAAGTTATAATGGAAGGGGATAAAATTCATTCCTTTAATTTAGTTTTCCTTGAATGTGTGCTGAGTGCACAGCATGTGAAAATATAAAAATGGGTCTCATTGTGGTTTGAATTTGAAATTCACCCTACCATGCAGGAGTGCACGCAGGCAGGCACACATGCAAGCGCTAATGCAGGAATCAGTGAATGCGCCTGTGTTTCAGTACCTTGTCTCCAGCCGGTGGCACTGTGTTTGGGAGGTTGTGGAACCTTTAGAGCAGATGGCATGACTGGCAGAAGTGGGTCACTGGGGATAGATCTTTCAGTTGTAGTCCAACTGTACTTTTAGGCTGAGCTGGCTGTCTCCTTGTTGATCAACAAACATGAGGAGCCTTTGCCTTACTCTCTGTCCCTCTTTACTCCCAACACAGATTGGCCCACTTTTGCCATAGTGCATTCCTTGTCATGATGGACTGATAGACCCTGAAGGTAAAAACCAGAATAAGTCTTTTCTCCCTTAAAGTGCTTCTGGCAGGTAACAAGTCAGAGTGTAAAAGTAGCCGATACAGTGGTGTGTTTGTTTTTTAGACAGGGTCTCACTGTATAGCCTAGGCTGTCCTCTAAATCATTATCTTCTTGCCTTAGCTTCTAAAATTCTAAGATTACAAGTGTGTGCCACCTGCCAAGTTTAGGATCGGTGTTTTTATAACTTTGTAAAAAATGTTAAAAAAAAATGCTAGTGAACTAGACTATGAGTGCAAGTGTGACATTTAGATCTCTCTAACAGTTTTTACTTCTCTAGCTGTTTGTCCTACTTTATGGATCCAGGTTTGACAACACAATGCCTTTCCTGTGTTTTCTAATTTGCTTTTCTATTTTTAAAGGATTTCTTATTGGGAAACGAGGGCTTAAGTGCTGTTTTTGGTAATTAAAAATATTCTAAAACCACAAAAACTATTAAAGGGAGATGGGCTCAAGTAGAAGATCTAAGTAGTGTGTATGGGACCTGGATGTAGTCTCCAGCACAGCCAAAGTCAGGTACACATGTTTGTAGCACTTATATTCAGAGAAGCTGAGACTTTTGAATTACTTGAGCATACAAGTTTAAGTCTAAGCCAGACAATGTAGTTGAAACCATGACACACACACACACACACACACACACACACACACACACACACACACA